AATACGTGATGGTGATGAATAACCAGTTAAAATCATATGCCACATGCGAAAATCAATTGATTGCAAGAAAATAGACATGCGAGTTTTCCAAAAATCAAATGACATATTTTCAAATAAAAGAGGTCTGGTGATAGAATAACCTTCCGTAATAGTACGATTAGCCATGGATCGAAATTCAAAAGCTTTTAAAAACTAATTTTTATGAATCCCTCTCTGATAGCACTTGAAAGTTTGTTAGGGATGTTAGGCCCTATATGAACTGGCTCAAGGCTAATAAAAAGAGAGGTGATTTGGAAAAGAAGAATCTTTTAAACAAAGACAAAACCCCAAACCAAAATCACCACAAAAAAGGTGCGGAAGAAAAATAAATGCGGAAGCGATAATAAGAAAAGAACACACCGGATTTATAGCGGTTCGGTCAAACCTTGACCTACGTCCACTCAATCTTGAGCTGGTTCCAAATTGCAGTCTGATCGTGTGGACCTGAAATGTTAGTAGAAAGCAGTCATAGAGAAAAAGAATGTTTGCTATCATCATCAAAATCATAAGCCATAGATCTGCAACAATAATGTCATATAATAAATTTTATATTTCAAATTATAGTAATTAAACTATTTATTCAAATTTTTAATTACTAATTATTTAATTAATCTAGTGTTTACTTTTTATCTTCTTCATTGCTTCGTTACTTGTTTTTTCTTATCGTTATTATTGTCCGGCGGTTTAGCGACGGTTATATAACCGCCGTTAGTACCGGCGGCACAATGAGGGATAGGCACCGGTAAGCCGCCGTTAAACGCTGGCGGCTAAACTGCCGCCCAAACCGTCGGTAAAACCGGCGGCCTATAAACCGCCGGTTATGGCCGCCGGTAAGAGCTGTTTTTCCTGTAGTGTTATGATCCAAAAATTTTAGATGGTTAGTATTGCTCGAGGAAAATTGGGATAGAAATAAAAATATTTTGCTATTGTGGATGTGTGAGGCTAATGGCATTATTATTAGATGTTATAGCAAGGGAGCTCATTTCTGTCTGTATCTTTAAGATTTTCAATAAAAACCTGTTCTCTTCACTCCTTTTATTTTTTACGCAATTTGAACTGTTATAAAATGTGTTATTTTGTTTTTAAAGAGTTTTGTTTTTAGTCTTTTTTTAATTATTTTTTAAAGGGACTAGCCCAAATTTTATTGAATAAAAAGGGAAAGTACAACAGTCAAACAAAGCCAACAACTCACACTTACATAAAAAACGCCTAAAGCAACGAAAGAAAAAGCTAAGCAAATAAAACAAGTCGTAAAAAATGACACCCAATAGGACTCAGTCAGGCAATCCAGCATCCACCGAGCAGCTAAGAAACGACCATCCATTGGTGGAGAAAACCACATAACATCCAACCGAAGATCAATAAGCAACACCACAGGCACTAGCCACATGAACCACCAAGGTTGTCAGCTCAAGGCCAACCCAGGGATACACAGGATTGTCTCATCATAGTCCAACAGCCAAAAGAAAAGCCAAACAAGCACAGGAGGCATCTCTATTTTTTTTTTAGATTTATTTTTAGACCTTTTCCTAAGACCACTAGAACTAACTTGATCAAACAACTTGGTCTGCCTTGGAATAGAGTTTATATTGAGGATCTGAGAACTCATTTTCATTCTCATCAAAATCATCATCGAACAATTTTAACCAATCCGAATTGTCCACACAAGATTTACTCACTGATAGATGGGCTTTCAACTCCGCATTGGACACAACCGAAATAAGAATATCCACAAAAGATGTCTGAAAAGTCAAGTTATTAGGACTAATCACATCCTTACTCAAAGTACCTTCATGAACAATAGAAGCCTCAACACCCTTACTAGCCACAGAATCGCAATTACTAACCGATCTAGTAGGCATAGAAGCATAATCCACAAGACCATCATGACCCAGAATGACAATAGAATTAGGATTCGAACAAACTGGCGCCAAAGAATCAGAGAAAAATACTTCCTCATCCTCAACATTAGTGGGAGAAGAAATTGGGGTAGAAACATGATTAACCGAGCAAGGGATACGCTCAGTAGGAGAAACCAAGCCTGCAGTACCCAAAATGCTACGAGCACCACCCTTACACCCACTAGAACAAACAGGGTTACCTGACTCGCCGTTAAGACCTTCAGCAATAACATGAACACTATCCGAAACAACATGGTCCTCATCGAAAGTCACAGGAACGACATCATCACAGCCCACATTCCTTACCGGAAGATCCACACCATTCGGATCCTCCTCCACCTTCTCCTCAACAACATCCAAAGAAGAAACAACCAAAACTGGACGCATAGCATTCCCAGCAGGAATAACGGGTGGATTAGACATAGAAGCAAAAGAACACTCACCCTTCATGTAACCAAGACGCTTACAGGACACACAGAAATCAGGAAAAACCTCCATTTGCACCTTTTGAATATACCTCGATTCCTCAGGCCCAAGTCAAATTTGTGAACGAAAGCTTTTAGAGATGTCCAACTCCACTAAAACTCGTGCAAGGGAAGGTCTAGAACCAATAGAAGTAGCATTATCAACCTTCAATGATCGACCAAATATAGAACCCAAAGCATGGAGGATACAGGGAGAGAACATAAGGGGTATTACCCATTCCTTCTAGAAACAAGAAGAAGAAGAAATTTTAGAGTAAAATATCTTATTTCTTTTGTAGGAATTAAAGAAGTTTGTGTTTAAAACAGGACAATTGATGCACGAATTGGATCTTATCTAATAAAAAACACGTTAGCAAAAATATAACAAATAAAAATATTAATATTTATGTGTATTTTCTTTAGCCCAACATATTCCCATGAGAAAGTAGATTAGATCTTATCTAATAAAAACACGTTAGCTCAAATACGATGCTCGAAGAAACACTCATTAGCCGTTCCTAAGGCTTCGTATGGAATAGTTTCATTACTATTTTTAAAAGTAAATTTTTAATACAAAAAAATTAATTTGAAACCTTATTTGAAATGATATATTTTAGGCTTTATATGAGATAATTTTCTTACTCTTTTGTAAAACTGCTATAGAGAAAATATTTTTTTAAAGTTGTTGTAAAAAACGTCATATCGGTTTAAATTTTTTTAAAAGCATCGAAAAAATAGTGGTTAAATAGAAATTATGATTACGGTCTGAAAAGAAAAGCAGTAAGAAAGCTGTCTCAAATAAAGCCTTAGGATTCGTTTGTGACAGTTGCAACTTTTTATAAATGTGATTTTAAAGTTGCTTTGAAGAAGGTAAAAAAAATTGTTGTAGAAAATAACTTCTAATATAATTTTTTCGAAAGCAGTGAGAATGTAATAGCCAAATAAAAAATTGTAATTGCAATCTAAAAGGAAAAGCAATAAGAAAATTGTCTCAAACAAAGTCTAAGGCTACGAAGCTGCTTTCAAAAACTTTTTGTGCCAGGAAGTTGTTTTCTACAATATTTATAAAAATTTACTTTTTCTAAACCAAATTTATAGAACAATAAGAAAGTTGTCCCGAACGATGCCATAGGCTTTGTTATGGACAATTTTTTTGGCAGATTTGTCTTAAAACTACAATCATAAATTTTTATTTGGCTCCCTGCTTTCAAAAGATTTTTATATTAAAAAGTTATTTTCTTCAATAGCTATAAAAACTTACTTTCTATATAACGACTTTAAAATGCAAAAAAAAAAAAAAAGTTATCCCAGAACCTAAGTCATAAAAACTTACTCAAGAAAAAAAAAATGTCATGAAAGCCACATAATTTATAAAACCTAAGTAAATTTATAAAAACTTACTTAACATCATAGGTATAAATAATAATAAATTACTATTAAAATTCTTTGCTGATGCCTTAACACAATAATTTTCATTCAGATATATAGTTTACAAATTGGTTTTCTTTGAAAAAACTTTTGAAGAAAAATAGTTATGTAATATTTTTATTCAAATAAACTTAATTTTTGTTGGCCAATTTTTCTATTTAAAAATAGAAAAAACTAAATTAAGGGTGCAAATGAGTGAGTAGAGCTCTAATCAAAACTAACTCGAGCCTAGCTTGTTTATTTAATGTCGGGCTCGAACTTGAGTCAAACTCAAACAGCAAGCTGGAGCTTGGATTGTCAGAAAAATAATTGGCTTTGAGCTCAAGAAGACAACGATCATGCCAACAACTTTGGGGGAAGTTATGATGAGAGCTCGTTGAAGTAGGCATTGACAAGAGTCTTCTCAGGAGCTCACTTAAGATCACAATGATGAGACCAACAACGAGTTCATTGGAGAAAGCATCTCAATGAGGATTAATTATTCTATGCGGCCACTGAACGACGTCTAGAGATGAATGTGACGTAAGGAATTACCGAAGTCGAGATAGTGGAGAGAAGTGCGGATATAAGGTTTCTGCCAGTAAGTTTCCAAAGCTTGTGGTCGTTTTCCGATGAAGCGAGCGGGCAGGCGGAGGTGCCTATGAGGTGGTCGTTGAAACCATTTGCTGTGAAATGCTGATACATTTGAAGACGCCATATAGAATAGTTTTCGTTGGTGAGAAGGGTGGGAACAATGTTATTGAGATTAGAGATAAGAAACTTGAGATGGGCGGGAACAACGAATTCTTCAAGAGAAGCCGAGATGGTTGAAATTTCTTGATTAGAGGCGGTCGAGTCTTGATTAGCCATGAGGAAGATGAACGGAAGCCGCTAAGTCAGATATGGCTCTGATACCATGATAACGAAATGGTAAAGTCGGAGAGAAGAGAAGAGAAATAGAAAATGGAATTAATCAGATCACCTGGATTAGAGGACTCTTTGGCTATATATAGCAGAACATACCATATGAGTAAATACAAGAACCAAGAAGTAAATAGTGACCCATTATTATAAGACCGAGACTGACGTGTCTATATACACTATTAGAATGAGAGCGTGCCACGTCATTTTTTTGATATGTAATGATGTTATGTACCGCTTGGTATTGGTGACGTGGTGCGCTCTCATTCATCTCTGGATAGTCCGGTGACCTCACAGAATAATTTCTCCTCAATGAGAATAGTTGCAAGAAAATCACAATGGCTATTCGCTAGAGAAGGCATTGATAGGTCTATTCGTTTTTGAAGAAGTAAAAAAGTTCATGATACTAGCAACTTCCTTTTGAACCAGATAAACTAAAGTAGAGAAGACAAAAAATTAGGATTTCTAATTGAGCAAGTTTGTGAACCAATGAACCAAGCATTGCCAAGCTCAAACTTGAGCTATTTAATTATAGGGAATGAGCTATAATTTGAGCTCGAGCATGAGCTTTCAATTCGATATGCTGGGCTCATGAGTTATTTAACCGAGTCAAATTCAAATTGGCTCGCCAATGACTTGACTCACTTACACCCTAAATTAAATGCTGTGCTTCCATAATATTGAAGCTAGAAAGTGTGTTTAGGTGTTACTGAAGGTAGACTCTTTAAATAAAAAGTACAGCTGATATAAAAGAATTGGGAGACAGCAAGATTCAAAGCCAGCGAAATAGTTTTTTCCAAAAAAAAAAAATGCCAAAAACAATCATCTGCTCTGCCGACAATTTGTAACTAGTTCTACAATTTTTTTTCCTTTTCTATGGAATTTTAATTAAAAATATTTTATTACAAATTTAGCTGTTATTAATGGAAAGACTAAATGGATGCTTTTAGTTTTATTTTTGGACTTTTGATCTAATTAAGGCTTGGTTTGGGACGGCTTTTTTATTGCTTTCTAAAACGGAGTTTTAATACAAAAATAAAAAAATTTGTATTA